CGCAGTTCGCGCCCTCACCTGCCTCTGAGGAGGGGGAATCACTTTGGACCTGGCGCCCGCCACGGTGGCGCTGCTGGCGTCGTCCCTGGCGGGCGACGGAGGCGGCGGCGCGGGTGGCCACCACGAAGGGTTGGGCGCCGCCGCTGGGGAAGGGCTGGGCGCCGCCGCTGGGGGCGGCGGCGCAGGCGGCCACCGCGTGGGAGGCGCCTGCCGCCTTGGAGCGGCGATGTGTTTCTGACGGCCAACCGCGGGCGCCGCAGAGACCAGGGCAATGCGCGAACGGTTCGCTCAAGAGAAACATACACGATACAATGCAGAATATGAGCAACTAAGATACACTATGTTATCATGGAATACGCAAGATCAGCGCGCAAGTCAATCCAGCTATGCATGGTAAAGCACAAAGGTACATGGCCAAACAAAGAATACGCATAAGAGAAACGACGCCCACCTCCTCGGCATCGCCTTGAAGGGTGCCTCGTCCACACTCGGCTCCTGAAGAAATAGTTAACGCGAGGGCGCGGGGGGGGGCAGGCTCGCCATCTTACCAGAAACAGGGGGAACACTGGCTCACGCACTACCCATCGAAATATTCATTTACACGTTGCCTTGCTGACTGGAAGCGCAATGAGATGATGAAGAAAATCTGAAGAACATGAGGGGGCCGACGACGGCGACGACGGCGGAGGAATAAAGCGATGGGGCGGTCCTTCGAAAGGGCGTACTCCGCGCGCGCCACCTTGCCCTCGGAGGTGAGCCCGTCGAAAACGTGGCCGTCCATGCACTGGATGCAAGCGGCGGCCTGCTCAGGAGTGGCGAACTTGATCAGGGCGGGCGCGTCCTGGAGCACGAGGGCGCGCAAGGGATCAAAGAAATAATGCAAAGCAAGATAAAAGAATGCGAAACTGCGCATGAAAGAATGCAAAGCAAGATACTGCAAATCAAGATACGCACATCAAAGATACGCCAAACTATCCCAAATCAAAACCTAAAGCAATATACAATCAAGATACCTTCCAGGCAAGCCCCGCCTAAGCCTGCTGGGCAAGACCCGCCCAGAACCTGCTTGGGAAACCACGCCCAAAAAAAGAAGATACTGACAATCACTAGACAGCATGCATGAACACGGACGGAGGACACAACAAGCAACGACAAACTGACAGAGACAAAAACATATCGGGTCCTTGTAGGGACCAAAGTCGCGAACGTAGATGTCCACGATGCCCTCGGCGCCGAGGAAGTGGCACATGTCGCGCAGAAACCTCCGCCCCTTCCTCCTCATCTCCCCTCCCCCCCTCCTCCCCTACCCCCCCCTCCCTCCCCCTTTACCTTGCCCCCCCCTTCCCCACCCCTCCCCCCCCTTACTCCCCTTCCTCCCCCCGCGCCCCTCCTCCCCCCTTACTCCCCCAGCCCACTCGTTTTACCCTTCCCCCCACTGTTGGAGACAGCATGCTGCGAGTTCTTGATGAACACCGCCTTGTCGCCTTGAAAATTCTTGGCGGACACGACCGCGCGCTGGCTAGGGAGAGAGGAAGAAGAGAGAGAGAAGAAAGAAAAAAAAAAAAAAAGAAAAAAAAAAAAAGAAAAAAAAAAAAAAGAAAAAAAAAAAAAAAGAAAAAAAAAAAAAAAAAAAAAAAAAAAAAAAAAAAAAAAAAAAAAAAAAAAAAAAAAAAAAAAAAAAAAAAAAAAAAAAAAAAAAAAAAAAAACAGAAGAAAAAAAAAAAAAAAAAAAAAAAAAAAAAAAAAAAAAAAAAAAAAAAAAAAAAAAAAAAAAAAAAAAAAAAAAAAAAAAAAAAAAAACGGGGGGGGGGGGGGGGGGGGGGGGATGAGCCCGCTGCGAACGGGCGCGGGCGGCGAATATGAAATACAAAGATACGAAGATAGGAGGCAACGAGCAACTATGCATATACGCAACAAAACTGCACCACGTGAGGCGAAACCATAAAGCCACAATATACGAGACCAGATGCAAAACGAACGTGCAATTCCCCCCCCCCCCCCCCCCCCCCCCCCCCACCACCACCACCAACACCACCACACACGCACACACACGCACACCACACACACACGCACACACACACACACACACACCACACACTCACGCACACGCACACAAACACGCACACACACACACATATACACACACACACACAACACACACACACACACACTCACGCCTCATTCCCGCCTCTCTCCCCCCCCCCCCCAGAGATTGAAACCCTCCCATCATCTTGCACCCTTCCCCGATTCCTCCTGAGGGGATCCCTACCATGTAACAGCAATTTTTTCTTATATAACCTAAGCAGAGTGCTCGTGAGAAATATACCGCGGGAGCGGAGGAAGACAATGTCGGCTGCTCTGGCACAGGCCAGCGGGAACAAACAACTCTGTAGGCGCCTCCGTCCATTACTACGCATGCAGGCTCGCAGAGGCCCCCCCCGACGAGTTCTAGTGATCGGGGCAAAGTAAATATTTCTGGGTATTCCACACGGAATGGGGATTTACAAAAATGAACCGGTAATTTCGATGTGCGCGCGTATGTGAGTGTTCCTACGCATGAACATGGCACGCTCAATCCGCGCCGTCTCACTCAACATACAGAAATACGTGCATGTAAAAAATACAGTGGTTTTGGGGTGACCGTGAATAAACGCAAGCCTCGAGCCGCACGCATTCAACATTTACCTACCCCTACACTTCACTACGCTACGTAGCCGCGCTCAGAGAAGAACGCCTTCTTCAGTCCCTCGCACTTCTTGGCCGCGCGCGCCTTCGCCTGGTCGTCGGAAAAGGCCAGACTCCAGTGCGTTCTTCCTCTCCTTGTGCCACACGCCGCTGTGGTAACGGGTCCACTCCTTCAGTAGCTCGACCTTCTTGACCCCGCAAAGGTTTTTCAGGGGCGTGAGGTCGCCCTGTGTTGGGCGTTTTCACTAGGCATACGAAAGATACAACAAAGCCTAGGCATACGAAATGATACAACAAAAAACATGCCTAGATATACGAAATATACAACAATGCATAGGCATACGAAATGATACAACAAAAAACATGCCTAGGTATACGAAAGATACAACACTGCATAGGCATACTGATGCCAGTGCATAGGAATACGAAAGATACAACAATAAACAATTTCTGCAGCCGAAGGTACATATAACAACATACGTAATGCATAAAAAACGCGTCCTTTGCTGGTTTCGCAGCCTTGGGCGCAGGGGTCTCGCGGGGCGTCTTGTCGGAGCCGCGCTTGTCCTTCTTCGCGTTGGGCGTGGTGTCCACGGCATCGTCAGGGCGAGTCTTGCCCTTCTTCCCGACCGCGCCGACGGCCGCCTTCTTCTGGCCGCCCAGCTGCGGTGGTACGTGGGCGGCCCGCAAGGCTGCGTGGAAGGTGTCATTGTCCTTGTCATTTAACACCATCCTGAAGGAGCCGAAGTCGACGCCCTCACCGATCGTGCCGCTCTTCTCTGTACCCTGCGCCTGGCTGCCCGCGGCGCCCACGCCGAGGCTCTCGCATCCGTCGTCCTGCAAGATCTTGGCGAAGATGCTGAAGTCGGGCCCCTCCGAGGAGCTGCCGCCGTCAGGCCGACCGTCCATGATTGCCAGGCGGCTCGGCGAGGCCCCATCGCCTGGGGGCGGGCGCGGCCCCCCATCCAGCGGGAGGCGCTCGCGCTCGGAAGTGTCCCAGGCGCCCCTCTTCGGCCTGTCCACCTCCATGTGGTTGAAAACCTTCTGAATCTCACCCATCTCGTCAGGGGTCGCCTGGAGATTACCGGATTTTCGTGTTTTCTACGATGTGCCTCGCAATTCCGGCACCCCAGCGCGCGCAAGTCAAAATAAGAATCAAGCAGACATGATCCAGGCGTTCCCATGATGATTCAAACCGTTCCGACTTAATGCGTTTCTGTTGTCCAACCAACAAACTCTGCGCCCTGCAGGCTGCTCAATTTGCGCCACACAAATAAAACAGCGCTCCTGCTCTTGGAGCGTCTGTAACTTCCCTTCATACATCATGGCCTCTCTGTACTTGGACGCCAAGGTCCTGCCGAATTTCGCGGGCGCGCTTGCGCCCGCGTAGACAAGAAATCTATGCAAATACACAACATATATGTTGTGTAGCTGTATTGATTTTTACGTTGTGCACAACAGCGTCCTGATCCACCACGCCGAATCGTGACAGAAATGCTCCAAAGACGCGTCATTCATGTGGACGGTCGCCGGATGGTGACAGGAGTAACAACGTGATCTCGCAACCAATACCATGTATGTATGTGTGTTCATACGCATAAATGGTGTACGAGATACGTCCAAAAATCTTTACATACACGATGTCACAATAGAGCTACCACATTCCACTACACAACGTGTCGGCACGTGGCACGTGCATGCATGGCAACTTTACTCAAACAAGGTTAATAATTTACAGGAAGCGCCATTGTAGATCATTTGCACAATTTGGAACATCACAAACACAGTCAATGTTATTCGTAGTATTCTTTGATATGTGATAGGCGCGCTATGACACCGTATGCCTACAAAAGGAATAAATATGAATATCGTACATGATGGTGTATAGTATGACTTAAATGTTAATTGTACGACGTGTGATGCACGCTCGCATATACAACCTTCAAGCGCCCATGATACAAGTCTGTGTGTAAATAAATATATATGTGTATGTATATCCTTGTTGGGCCCCACCGCATAAAGACATACAGTGGACTATGATGTACACCTGTCCTTATTCATATGCACTCACGGACGTATACACATTGTATGCATACGGATGTCGTCTCTGCGGCGGGGGAATGAATCAATGCACGGTTCCTTCCCACTAACGCGCAGAAAACAAGATAACCGCGCAACGCAAAAAAAAAACACATCTTATACGACAAAGATACGGATGCCATCTCGCAAGATACAAACTTGCAAACACAGGATGTGACGAAACCATACCGGTGCAATCTCTTAAGGTACAGGTATCATTATATGGTCGCTGGTGCCTTCGTGTGGGCCTTGAACAGAGCCGTCCTCAACTTGACCTGGTGTATGACCATGTTCGGCGCCGCCTGGGCCAGCAGCTCGTTCAAGTCCGCGAAGGACGCCATTATCGAAGCCTCGGGCTGCGTCTTCTCAGTGATGTGCTTGCGCACGGGGCTGCAAGATATGTTTTTTTTCACGCAAGATAAGACGGGTCATACATGGTCGAATTCCAACAATTACATGTAAAAAAAGTGTCCTCAATATCCGCCAGAGATCACGGGTGCCGCGCTTCACGAAGAACTTCTCCAGCACAGCTGTCAGAGAGCCCACATCGGCGTCAGGCGACGCCTTCGACCTAAGCCGCTTTCTGGTGATGCGCCCGAGCATCTTGCACGCCACAGAGATGGATTTCACAAAATCTGGGCCCCAATGGCTATTGTTTTGACGATGACGCTTCCAAAACAGATGCGGGTTATGCTGTGGCATACGCCGAGTGGCTCACGAACAAGACAACAAGGCTCAGTGCGTCCACGTGCTCACACACCCGTCATAGCAAGCTCAGCTGCAAAAAAATGTACACCGTGCGGGTTCGGTTCGGTACCGCCATGTGACATAAAAATTAATATTGCCGCGCACAGATAATTTAAATTATATTGAAGGTAATTTGTTTTATCTTAACAAAACAAATATTATCTCAGATATGACAGTTTTAAGAAAATCTAGATTATATCAGGAGTTAGTTTTTTTATCTTAGGTGATCTGAAGGGTACGGATCATAGATGATCCTTTGTTTTTGAAATCTGCCGGCCCCCTTGCGGAGCCATCAGGCTCCGCGGATTAGGGTTGTTGCTCCCTGCTCCAGTTCCAGTTTCCAGTTTCCGATGTTACAATTTTACGTTCTGCTTCCTACTGTGAATTGTTCGCGCGAGGGGGGGGGGAGCCGAAAAGGACCCTGGTTACCTTCACCGATTCTCTGAATTTCTGGGGGGGTCCTGGGACACGTAGAATTAATGATACTCGATCCCAAGAGGCCAACATCTGCGATTTCCCTTAGTTCTTGATGGATTTTGGCACGCTCGCCTGTTCGAGCTCCCGACGCTCCCAGACAGCCCAAGAGGCCCCCCAAGAGGCCCCCAAAGACCGCCCCAGACGGCTCAAGAGGCTCTCAAGAGCGCCCGTTCAAGAGGGCCCCAAGACGGCTTAGGAGACCCCCAAGACGACCTAAGAGGGCCCCACGACGGCTCCAAGAGTGACACGAGACGGGGGACCCGGACCCACGTCGCCCACATTCGGAGGTCCGACGCTGCTTCGCGACGGCGCCCAGGCCTCAAAACATGGCTCTTGCAGACCCCAGTCTCCGAGAGAGCGGGCTGGCAGCAGGGGGCGAAATCCTTACGGATATTTTGGTGTTCTTGCCTTCATGGCTTCCCGACGCTCCACGACGGCCCAAGAGGCCTCCACGATCGCTCCAAGATAACCCCAACGTCTCCATGAGGGCCCCGAATCGACCCAAGATGGCCCCCAGACAGCCCAGGAGCCTCCAAGACGGCCCAAGAGGGCCCCAAGACGGCTCCCAGAGCGTGCCCACACAGGGGACTCGAAAGGAGCTTTGGAACCTTCGGTCCCAGAGCCTCCGAGGAGGCTCCAAGAGGTCCCAAGAGGCCTCCCGAGAGGCCCCTAGAGGCCCCCAAGAGGCCCCCAGAAAGACACAAGAGGCCTTCAGGAGGCTCCCAAGAGACCGCCTGGGGTCCATCTGGGGTAGCGTCTCTCTCTGGATCCCTTTTCCCTGTTTCTCGGGGCCCCAAAACGGCCCCGCGGAGGCAAGCAACAACAAAAAACGTAATGGAACCAAGAACCTCGAACCTGCCCGCCCCTTCTGCTGGCCAGAACCAGTGCTGCTGGGCCACGTCAGACCCCCAATCTGCCGTAATCTGCGCCTACTACACTACACCCATACACTCGGGAAACACGCACCCGTGCGAGCAGGAGACCGACTCGGGTGAGCTGGCCCTCGAGACGGCTGCCTGTCTCCCCACCTACTTTGGCGGCGCACAGAGGGGGGTAGGAGGAGGGGGAAGGCTTCTTCGAAGGAGGCTGCTTCTTACAAGGCGCCGGGCCCACGTCTACAGAGAAGGCACGCGCCTTCTAAGAAGCAAGTGCGCTTCTAACAAACCTTCTCCCCTCCCCCATGCCCCCCTCTGCGCGTGGCTGATGGTTTTCGGGCCGTGCACCCCCAGAACGCCCTCGGCGAGGCGCAGCCGCTGGAGAGCATCCCGAGGCTGGGCAGCCGCCGAGAACCGACGAATACGCCCGAAAACCTCGAAACAACGAGCCTCGAGCCCGAAACCTCTGATTATCGTTTAACCGATCCCCATCCCCACCGCCGTCCTCGCCCACCGCCTTCACCACTGTCCCCACAACTGTACCCTCCACTGTCCTACTGTTTCCACCTCATTCCCACTGTCCCCACACCACTGTCCCCATCACCACCGCCCCCACCACTGTCCACCGTCCCTACTGTTCCCACCATTGCCCTCACCACTGTCCCCACCACTACCGTCCCCACCACTGTCCCACTGTTCCCACCACTGTCCCGCTGTCCCCTCACCACTGCCCCCATCGCCACCGTCCCCACCACTGTCCGCCCCCCCCCCCCCCCCCCTCAGTTTTCGAATGGAGGGGGGGGGGGTCGAACCAGTAGTGACCCCCCCCCTTTTTGATTTGCGCGCGGGTGATCGTCTGCCGAACACTCCTGCCCGCGGCGCCGAAACGACGAGCGAGGGGCCCGAAGAAGGGCCGAAAGAGACGAGGGACGGACCAGGACCCGACAGAGCCGAGCGAGGGACCGACCCGAGCAAACAGGGACAACGAGAAAAATCAAGGGCCCGATCAAACAAGCGATGCTGGCAAGACTGGTGGGACAAGTTGAAGCCCGCGCCCTGGCTCCTGGGCTTCCAGCCTCAACCTCTGGCCAGCAGCAGAATTATACAACAAGACAGAGTCAGCACGGCGGCGGAGAGCCCTTCCTCTCTTCGCGAGCCTGGGCTGGGGGGGGACAAAAGGAGCACATAAAGGATGAGTGGGCGCAGGCGGCACGGGTGCCTGCTTCTCAGCGCCTCTGTGCCCACTCATCCTTAGCCTAGCCTAGAACCCTGACGAATCGGCACAGGACACTACAGAGAGCAAGGCTAGAGAGGCAGAAAACATGCCGCCCCCCGCAGCAGGAAGCGAAGAGAATGTTCTTCGCTTCTCCTTGCGAGCCTGGGCGGGGGGAAGGACAAAAGCAGCGCAGAAGGAGGATGGGCGGGCGCAGGCGGAACGGGCGCCTGCTTCTCAGCGCCTCTGTACCCACTCATCCTCAGCCTACTAGTCCCTGGCGCGTAGCCATAAGACCTTTCGACTGTCCGACTGCCCGACTGTCAGAGAGAAAGCACAGACAGAGAGGCGTGCGCAGATATCCCCGCGCGGCGGGCGGGCAAGAGTCTTCTCTCTTTGCGAGCCTGGCCAGGGGAGGAATGACAAAAGCACAGACGGGATAAGTGGGCGCAGGCGGAACGGGCGCCTGCATCTCAGCGCCTCTGTACCCACTTATCCCAAGCCTACCCTACTTCCTGGGAGCTGTCCTCTGTAGCGGCCAGGAAAAGGAGCACTGCAGAACAACACTTCTGGCGGCTGGTGTCGGGGATCCGAGTAGTCCTGCCAGCATCAGACAGACGAGACAGACCAGATATCCCAGTTACATCCACCCCACCTCCGAAGTATACCCCGAGAAATCTACGGGGCCTCTAAAAGCCACGCAGGATCAAACAATGCCTGAAAATTAGAGACATCGTGAGGGGCGGGAAAGGCATATATAACGTTGACATTGTCAACCGCAGTGACCTCACCGACTGGTTGATCAGCGCGGGGGCCACGACCATCACACATGCGTCGAAGCCGTGAGATGGTGCCAGGGGCCCGAGGAGGCCCAGTGCACGATTTAGTTAAACCAACTGCTTTCTTCCACGAGTAGCGGCCACATCGTCGACAACATATGAGATTATTTAGCCGCCTGGGCACGTGCCCACCGCCAGTGGGAGAAGAGCACTGCGAACGCAATACATAGCTCTTGGAGACTGAACTAGCCCAACAATTCACGCATCGAAAACGACCCGCTGAGGGGCCCCAGAAATGCTCATGCAAGGCCCCAGAGGAGGCACCAGAGAGGACTAAGGATGGGGCCGTGGGGGCAGGGGACTCGTCATAATCCGCCGCCCAAGCCTTTTTTGGGCACATTCGTGAAAATCCATGCTATACAATGACCGATATACACACCGAGATTGCGCACCAGCAAACCAGAACGCTTGATACGGTCGTGCAGGACCGTGTCCAGAGTGCGTAGGTCAGCACCTAGGTTAGCAAGTCTGTCAGCTTGCTTATTACCCGCAGAGGTAGAGTGGCCACGGACCTTGGTGACCTTAATTAGGTGATACCCGATATCTGAAGCCGCACGGTGGACACGGACCCACAAGGATGCGTGAGTGGCCCATCCGTGCGTGGTAGCTTCATACCCCAATGCCCAACCGTCCACGACGCACTGGGCATCAGTGACAAACTCATAGCAGTCGGAGGGGGCGGCATGGGTTAGGTAAAATAGAAACGCATAAAGCTCAGCCCCTGAAACATCCTGGGTGAGAAAGGGATATACGCCATATGCACCAGCATTAAGCCGAAGCCGATCATTGGCGATGGGCTCACCAAAAACATTGCGACTACGCGGGGCGAATGAGCAGACACCCCATCCACAACGGAGAGTGAGCGGCGAGGGACCATGCTTTCCCGAGCCGTCTCCGTACGCAGGCGACGAGAAGAAGGGGCCGTCTGCGGCTCCTTCCCAGACAGGGTCTGGGAAAGGTGGTGCAAGCAGGGAGCAACAGCGCGGGTCGGGAACCATGGCAGTGGTCCAGACAGGGTTCTCGCGGTACTGCTCTATGCAACGGGTGAGGGCTGGAGTCGGGCCGAACCAACGACGAAACTCCACAAGCCCATCACACTCATACAGGGTGTGAAACACGGGGTCAGATGGGGACGACCTGGCAAATGGGGCACATAGGTTTAAAGTATATGCCCACAGATATAAAAGTCCTCAAAGCACGTTGCTGGAGGACACCCCATCCTTCAGTCTTCGTAGGCAAAAGGGAAAGAAGAGGGGGGAGGAAAGGGGGTCCAGACAGGTGACTGAAGGATGGGTGACGCTCAGAGGCCTGTTTCCAGGCCCAAACAGACGCGTCGCGAATCAGTAGTGCCACCACCTCACGAGGGGAAGTATACGAAATATCAACATCGGTTCCAAGAGGAGTTCGCCATATTGTGGG